ATTCCCCCTTTGGTGCTCAAGTTGCTCCTTGTTCCTTCACCGACCTTCCTGGCTCCTCAGCTACTGCACACTGGCTCCAGTGCTACCCGGCTTCGCCTTTGCCCTTCAGTCGAACAGCGTGCGATGTCCTGTCCACTTCGGCTCCGACCACTTTCTTTTGATCACTTTCAGACGTACCCACCAGGCTTCCGGCAGCGAGCTTCCTGCAGCAAGCTTCCTGCAGCAAGCTTCCTGCAGCAAGCTTCCTGCAGCAAGCTGTGCTGTCTCTCTAACCCATGTGCCTCTTCAATAGCTCTTGTTCTGATCTCTGGGCATAAGACTGGTCGCCCATCTGGTGCTCTTGAAGCCTAATCTCCAGGTCTCAGTCTGCATCTTATGAATCTCCTTCCATCAGTTTGGTCACTGCACATGTAATTAAAAATTAAAACTACCCTGGCAAACCCCTTTTGCCACATGGTCCTTGCCATGTGTCAATTCAAAACAATTAGAGATGCATAATAAAGTTGTGCATCTCTTAAAAATTCCAGGGCTTCTCCCATGGAGTAGTTCTGCTCCAGGCCTGTAAACCTGTGTTTAGAAAATTGGCCAGTGGTGTTTCCTGCTGCAAATCATGTGATTAAATCATATGATTAACCCTCTGCTGTAGAAAAAGTAGATGTAGATGTTAGCCCAGTGCATCTTGTATGCACACTTTCTCACAGTGACCTTTGCATTGTAAACAATACAAGGTCATATTAACACACTGCTTGTAAATAGACACAGAAAAAACTGGCAACCAAAAGATCTGCATGGCCTACAAGACATGCAAAACTAAGATGTTGCTTACATCCTCCTGTTCCTGTAAAAAAAAGAAACATCCACCCTTTTTGCTCTGTGGGTGGAGGTGGAATCTTGCATATTGGTGTCAAGTCAGTTAATGTCTTTGTCAGTCCAGTCAGTCCCCATGTTTATTGCTGATAGCTGAACCTCTCGTGTCACATTAAGTTTCTACTGCCAACAATATGACGACATTTCAAAAAGAACAAAAAAAACAATTTTAGAATGGATTACCTCGCTGAATCCTTTTAGGCAGGGACTCCCTATCTGGTTGCGTCCCAAATAAGTGACTTTCTCCAGAGCCCATTGTAATGTAGAGAAGCTCAGTTTGCGATCATTTTCCAGCAAAAATTTTACATAACGCTTTCAGATCCAATCATGCAGGCCTGCTTGAAGAGAAAATTGTCAAACAAAACTTTTAGTGCACTGTTTAAAAATACCAGCATAACCAAATATATAAAATCGTAGTCTTAGGGCTTATCCCTAAGTTACTGCAGTAGGTAACTGAACAAACTGGCGATCAGTAGCAGGAAGCGCTGGCTTAAATAGTCCTCCTGTAATTGGCAGCGGTTGGGGCTCAGGTGCTGCCCAGGTGGCTCCGCCCAGGAGAGAAGCCAGGGAACAATACTGATGACAAAATGCAAAAAGCCC